ACTGTCTGCAGTTAGTCTAGTGTCTTAATAAGGTCTACAAGGGGTAGAACCAGTCAACACAAGAATTATGAAACTTCTAGTAAACCTGAAGGAAAAAAAAGACTGAATCATTTGGGAATTGGAGCATCTCTACAGGAGTGTGAAACATTATTTACAACCATAGCAAGTCGAGGTTTGAAAACCAGGAAATGCAGGGTTCAAGCAGGAAGGGTTTTGTAAACAGAGGGGGGGGGAAACAACATATACTTTTGAACGTGAGCTTTCCCAACAGAAGTAGGAAGATGTCCTTCTACTATAAGAAGCCAAGTGGAGAAAAGTGTTACTGCAATGTTTCGACAAACACCGTAGTTGTGATCTTTAAGCTCAGCTATTTTAGAAAGAAAATAATTATCACAATTTTTCCCCTTAAGAAATGTGCTACATAGATATTTAATGAAAATGTTTTCCCATCATTTGCAATTAAGTTTATTAACTTTTTGGTATTTAACATTACAAATTGTGATTTCTAGACAATTTTTCTCTAGTGAAACTCTGAAAATGTTTTTACAAAGGAAAAAAATAATTCAATGGACAGTGAGTTTAAAAAGTACTTAACTCAATGAATTTTATAACTTTTTTTTTTTTAAGCCTAAAGGTTATTTTGTTAAGCATAGATAAATCAACTGTTTAACATTATAGTTTAACATTTTTCCAGCATGTAGTTCAAAAGAAGGGTCCCTGATTAGTTATCACAATGATCAAGTACTGATAGGTGAACCACTTTTTTTAATATGTCTTTATTGATTTTAGAGAGAGGAAGGGATAGGGAGGGAAACAGCAATGATGAGTCATTGACCGGCTGCCTCCTGCAGGCCCCCCACTGGGGATGAAGCCTGCAACCCGGGCATGTGCGCTGACCGGGAATTGAACCGAGATCTCCTGGATCCTAGGTGAATGCTCAGCCACGCAGATAGGTGAACTCCTTTTGATCAACTCATTAAAATATCTAACTCCATCCAACTACCTTTCCTATAGATCTTACATATCAGTCTTCTCAGATATTCCTTCTGAGATGAGAATGTGATGACCAGCTCGTGAAAATCCTTTGCTTGGCAGCCAAGTTTCTGATTGTGAGATATGAAATGTTTATTTCAACCAGTTCCCTGTGAGCTTGGGTCCTGCATGACTCTTCCAGGGGTTGCATCATTTCTCTTAATACTCCAGACTCTAGATGGAGGCCAGGCCCTGGGACAAAGGCCATAACTGGCTTGTACTTGGCAGGGATCCAAGTGGAAGTGTCTACCTCAATGCCAGTATTGGGAAGGTCACATCTCCATTGTACTGAGAGTGGACTCAGAGCCCAATTCCCATTAGAACTGACCAAATAATATGGTGTTTCTAGTACAATATTCACTTACGTTATACAAAATGTCTAAAAAGGGGCACCCAGGGTAATGATTCTAAGAATATTCTAAAGCCCAAAATACAAATTGCTTGAACTTAAGTACTGTTCAATTAATTAAGCAGGAGGGCTCCTGAAGGAGATCTAACATTCTAAGTGTAAACAGCCTTTATAATTTATTCTTAGGTTTAAAGTACGAAGAACTGTTTTAAAGGTGGGAAGGAGATAGTGTATCATTTTCTCACTTAAGTATTTTGGGAACTGCAATTTATTTTACACTCTATCACACTATTTTAAGACGTCTTCTCATTGGAGGAAATATGTCTATACTCAGCTTTAACAGTAAAAATGTGAACTTTGGAGAACATTACATGCAAAGAGAAATCAAGTTCATTATATAAACAAGGGGTATTCAAATATATAATGTTTATTTTACTATAGGGAGTATAATAAATAAAAAATAACTGAATATTTACTAGATTAAATGACAATTTAGAAAGGAATAGTCTGTAGTTCACCCAAAGTAAACAATGCATCAAGTACATTTTTAGATTTGTTTTATTATCTTTAATGAACTATGTTTAACATTTTACAAATCTTCAGATTGTTACAGTTTCCAGCAGTAAATATAGTAGTAATGACCATAAATGTACACTGAAATGTGAGATTCCTCTGATAACAGAATACAAAAGATAGAAACACTTGGAAACAGAGGGCAAAATGTCAACTCTAGGTCTGAGATGGAAATTAACAGTCAAATTCTTTACAAAGCCAGTAGTGGGCAAGTGAGTAACTCATTCCCTATAAATAAATATGTAACTTTGAGCTTGGCCTATCTGGGAAGTTCTGAGGAATATTATTTGACCCACAGATCCCTAAAACTCTACCATATGCGTTGATGCCAGAGGATTCAAACACAGAGGCAGTGATCTGAAAACGATTGCCAAAGCCAAGAAGTGCTTTGATTCCTCAACATTTGTGACCTTCTCGGTGTCCTGTGTATTATAAAAGGGTGTGATCCCTATACAACTGCCTACATGTCATAAAAATGGATTTTATAAAGTCTCAAGATCTTAATATGTATTCAAAAATACATATAGCTGTGCTTTAGTAAACGAATCCATCAGTTAATTGAGGGATAATTTTGCTTTTAAGATATATATGCAAAGTATGTACAAAGGATCCACAAATGTTAACAATTTGTGACCAAAATTCTCTAGGTTTACATTTGCAAAAAACCGGGTTGGTTTTCAATTTAAAAATTTAAGAAAGTTGTAAATATTGTAGGTTTATTATCACTTGGGTTAAGAAAAAGTAGATGGCTTCAGCTTTTTAACAGGAAATCTGTGAACTACTCACAAATGAGAAGTTGCACATTTTTAATCATTAGAAAAGATAAATTGCCTATACTTTCCAATTGAGAACAGAATGTGCAGTATATTAAAAAAATAAGGTTTTATTCTGAAACAAATAATGTATTTCTAGAAAAGCCCTTGGGGATGCATCTTCTCATTTCCTTTACACAAGAATGCCTAACTGGAATACCTGAACAGTACGCCCTTATATCAGCATGTACAGTCCTTTACTAAGCTGAGATGAAACGTTTTTACTTAAAGGTGGGAGAAATATGCATTTAAAATATTGAAGAAGTACGACATTTCCCTATATAGTTTCTAACTTCATTCCAACATAATCTATCAATATAAACTGGATTCAAAAAAGAAACACACAAAGAGAAATGCTCTTTGCATGCAAATTCCATTGTTCCAACGTGAATCACTAGGTCTGTATTTTTTAATAAAAACTGCACATCTGCTTAAGTTGGCTAACAGAAAATGCACATTTAAGAAAGATGTTATATCCATCTGATAAAGCAAGTCTATATCAAAGGCACTTCAGCAGAGCACTAACTCCTTAACCGTTCCCAAGTCATTTCATTTATGCTTTTATCTTTCTGTATAAGACCAATAAGGAGCCTCCTCTAATTTGGGGCCTTATCACTACACCCCACAAAAATAAAAGTTAACCTAGGTATTACCAAAACATCTATCTCTTCCATGGATTGGGGTAACATTCTAGCAAACTTCTGCCTTGGTCTTTAAGTTCTCTGGGTTAATACAGAAAGGTGGCAGTGTCATCTGACAGGTTAGGTGCTTCAGAAGTGGTTACGGAAAAAAACTGGCTGAAGTCTATCTGGGGGAAAGCTGTAGTCTGTCATTACATATCCATTTATAATTTGACTAAAGCTAATGTGGCTAGTTTTGGTTCTTTCAACTTATGTGCCTTGGGTCTCTATGTTGCTCTCATGTTGATTAGCAGGAATGAGAAAGAACACAATTTTGTTGCATGTTTCCCCCCTTTGGAAAAGGAGGTTCTGCTTCAGACATTTGCCTTTGTGGCAATTTTAAGAAAAATGGAATGAGTTGATTTTAATTAACAGATTTATTTTTAAGACATATGAATAATTCAGAGTTGAAGACATTTATAATTAAAAACAGCTGAATGTGTTCACACTGACTTCTTTGCTATGATGAAAAGGACATGGACATATTACTTCCAAAACCGGGGGATGGGGGCAGTGAAAGGCTCTAAGTGACTTAAGAAAAAACTTTTACTTTTCCCATGAAATTGAAACTGTTTTTCTCAAACATCTCTCATGAATATAACAGGAAAAAGAAATCTATACATATACCTAATATCCTAAAGGTATTTTTGAGTCTCAGGGAAATGGAATTTCTTTTTTAGCTCATCAACATTTAAGAGAAAATTGAAATAAACATTTCCTTTAGGTCGACACATTTTGATTTTTTTATTGTTCATAAGAAACTTTAAATTTATTGATTTTTAAAAATCAAGTCTAATAGCATTTTAGTGCCAGATTTTTTTTTAAATAGAAGACATATCTTAAAACGGATTTTAGCTTACATTATCAGTGAGTCTTAAACTAAAGATAAGGGGTTTTTTGTATGGTTTTTCCCAAACTGGTGTAAAGTTTTCCTTGACAGCTAATAAGCTCACTTCACTTTCAAGGGAGGGGGAAAGAAAAATTTTAAATAAAAATCTGGTATCAGAGCATTCACTTCTCAGATTTATAAATAAAAAATTATCACCTTAGCATTTATTCTGGAGTTTCCCATCTTATATGAATATGGGATTTTCTTTGGGGTCGATACAATATACATGCTGTTTATAGCAAAAAAAAAAAAAAAAAAAAAGAAAAAGAAAATGTTGTTTGGCCTTTAAACTCTAGAATTACATCAATCCAGAACATTTATCAAGTTATTTTCAAGTAGAGGCATTGGGGAACAAAACAGTAATATTTCACAAGAATATGATGCCTGAAGAATACAGTTTCATTTCTAAGTGTTTCACAGGGGTAGTCATCAAAGCAGAGGCAACACTTTTAAATGGAAACAACTTTAGGACACATTTCACAATGTCATCCTTAAGAGAGTCAGGGCTGAGATGGCTGGCTGAGCAACATTTTCAGATAACTAACACCTTGAGGCTATTTTACATTTTGAACACTTGGATACTTCAAATTCAGCACCCAAAAATAAATGAAAAGAACAGGTCAGGAGAAGCATTCCCTAGTATCTTTCTCATTACTGAATTACCATTTTACTATTTACTCTGCTTGAGACATATCCAGGGACCACTGAATTGCTCAGTCACCTTCTTAAGAAGTTCACACCGCAATTTACAGTAAGAAGCAAGAATAAACACGAAAGAGCAGAGACACAATCGTCCTTGGTGTTAATTTATGGGGATCAGTGGGCGTTCCTCTCGCTTCTTCCAGATATTAGTTTTGCTGTCTCTCTTGGCTAGTGGTGGTCTGCCCCTTTTCCTAGTGGGGGACGTACTGGCTTCAAAATCTTCGCCAGTGCTTTTTCTTCCTGGGGACTCTTCCCCGGGGTGCTCCATGATAGCGCCACTCCCTCCATCTAGAATGTGCCTGAGAGCTGGGTCCTCAGGGGAGCAGACAGTGGTTCCACTCTCACTACTGCTCAGGTCTAAATCTTCCAAGTACAGAATCTTAGGCTGGTGCATGCTTTTGATGAAAGTCTTCTCCCTCTCCAGTTTCCTACTTGAGTGGTGCTCGTTCATGTCCACCCCCGAGTCCAGGCTCGTATCATTGCTCTGGGTTCGCTTGCCCTTTTTCAGGTCTATGAAGGAATGCCTCACTTGGGCGACTGGCTTCCCATCAAGAGACACAAACCAGGCTCTGGGGTGAGGGGAGGGCTTCCCTTTGGACAGCTCCAGGAGGGTCTGCTCTGAAATTCCTTGGAGCTCTGATGAAAAGGGGGTCATTACAACAGCTTCATTGAGTGTCCCAGGCACAGACACGGACTCCAGTAAGCTGCTGGAATAGCGGCCCCACTCTGAGGTCTGGGACGGCAAGCTCTGCTGGCCTTCAAGTGGGATGCTCTCTTCCCGGGCATCCGGAGGCTGTGCATGAGAATGCACTGGCATTTTGGGCAATGTCTGGGTAAAGTTCTCTCTGTTGACTGGTTCCATCAGTTGGCCATAGACTAGCTGTCCCTTTCTTGGCAAAGTAGCTGACTTAGCTGTATGTAGCTGCTCTGGAGAGGAGAAAAGGTCAGCTGTCTGAAGGATGGCAATGGGCTGGCTGTAGATGTGCATCAGCTGCTCGGGGAGGTGGGAGCGCCCATACACCTCCTCGCTACCCGCCAGATACCTCTTTTCCTCTTGAGCATCGCCTAGAGAAGACAGGTTGTTGGTAATGTGTGTAAGTTGTTTGGCCCCTACGCTGGACTCCAAGGACTGGGTTGGGTTTCTTGAGAAATTATTTTGATTGGCTGACAGAAATGAAACATCTTCATTGTAGATTTTAAAACTGTCCCGAGTTTTTACCATGGAAATTCTCTCCTCTGCTTCCATCTTTGACAGTTCCTTTTTTTGCGGGCTATATGATGAATTTTTGGCATTGAATAACTGTGACTTGTCCTCAGCTTTTAATGGAACTTTGACTGAACTGATGTGATTTATGTGTGTTGTTGAAGTTGTCTGGTCTCTCTTGAGGACCTCGAGCTTAGTGATATTTCTTTCTCTTTTCTGGGGAGTGCCACACTTATCCCTAGAGAAAAGAAGGCAAACAATGTTTACAACTTACAGTCTAGAAGGTTCCTTTAAATATTCATCCCCCAATATGTATATTATATAGGCAATGCTTATATATTAGACTATATCCATTTTTATTTTAATCTACATATTTTAAAGAATAATCCATTGATTTCTACAAATAAACTTTGTAATACACAGAACATATTGACACACCACCATAATTTGACAGTTTTGGGCGTTTACACACCTTACTGTTTTCTTACCTGCAGTAACAAAGAAGCACAGTAAAAAATCCAATGACAATGACTACTGTTCCTCCCAGTATGGCTGTCAGAAACACCGTGTGGTAGGCAGTTATGTCCTTGGAGTCTCCATTTATACCTGAACCTAAATGGTTCGATATAAACAAACAAATAAAACAAAAAGAAAATCTACAGTTTAGGTCAAATTTTCAACTATGTCCTATCCTGAGTGAAGCAGATTGAAAATGTGTACAAACGTATTTGTCTGCTCCCTTCAAAAGGCAGGCTTCCTGTGGGTGGAGAAAACCCTCTCTTTGGGCTTAATCAACTGACTTGCTCTGCTCAGTGAAACGTGAGCACCATAAGTGAGGTTGCATGTTATGGCCCTGCCCATATAAGGTCCTCTAATACGTGAACAGTATGTCCCAGAGAAGTGGTGTTACTTCAACCTCCATTCTAGAATGAGAAAACATGTTGAACTGAACAAAACTAAGCCCAACGGTCAAAACTAAGCCCAGTGTAAACAACAAATAACTGCTTGCCATTGTCGGCCACTGAGATAGCAGATTTCTTGTTACTGCAGCAATGGCTGTTATAGACCAAGACGCTAAAATGCTGCTATAACAAAACCCTAAAATATGTGACACTGGCTCAGGCCAGGCAGTGAGCAGTGAGGAGTGAGGAAATGGCTTCAGTAGGCAGTATAAATGATAACCCAAGTTATGGAGTAGCAAAATATTTGGTGGAATAAACTGGGAGAAAATATTTCCAATTAATTTGAGCTTCGTGCAAAGAGGTTTTGAGATAGAATATAGGTAGTAAGTATGGACTGTTACTAGCTGCATTCAACTAAAAAAAGAAATTTTAAAGATAAATTCAAAACAGAATTTGCCAAAGTAAGCAGTGATGACAGGACTAGAGAGAATCCAAAATTTCTGGGACTTGAAGGATTAAAAGTTGCAGTTCCTTCAGCCTTGGCTGCAGACTAAGAAGATGCCATGATCCCAGCAAGCTGTGCCCAGGAGAGGCACAGTTGACCCACTACCCTCCATTATAAGGGAGCACATAGATACAGTGCTGTTATGATAACTTTAATTGCAGTAAAAGCTGATGAATACACTGAAATGACAAGTGCAGGCTATTAAGACTCTGCATGAAAATCAGTACTACTGGGCAACTAATCTTGAGGTAAGCTTTTCAGTATCACTAAGACTTCATTTTGTTCAAAAAAGTACATAACTCTACTGATCAGTACCACCTACTAGACTGTAATACGTGTTCAGGGTGATAAGGGGCTGGTCATCTCTACCAAGAGAAAACCTCCAGAATGAGACTCTTACCTTCACCAAGGGCACTGGAAGGGACTGAGGGCCACAAGGTCTTTAAATCTATCCTTTAAATTTTGCATCATCTAATTTAACAGAAGTAAAGTAACAGTGATAGCAAAGGACTTGGAGAAGCAGCACTGTGGATATGTATACAGACTCTGGAGCCAGAGGGCCTGACATGGAATCCTGGCCTCACCATTTATTTCTAAGTGTCTTGGGCAAGTTTCCTTTCTTTGTGCTTCAGTTCGTATCTGTCATACCTAACCCATGTGGGTTGTTGAGGATTAAACGAGGTAATATTTATAAAACAGAATAGTGCTTAGCACATGATAAGCAGTCAGTAAGTGTTGGGTATACTACACTGTTGTGTAACTTTAGGTTATGTAAGAACAGGCACTCTGGAATTGGGCACACTCTCATATATGGTTACTAATATTAAAGTGTTGATCATATCTAATAGGCAACCAAGTACAATATGACATACGATGAAATTTCTTCAAACAAAAATAAGAAGAGCAACAATTCCATCTGTGGATTCTTATTCAGGATCCAGAGCTGCAAATGAGTCAAGTTTGTTTATAACTGGGTGAAATTCAGCTTCTGCTCCTAAGACTATAGGAGCATATGTTTCCACAATAGAGTAATGTTAGCGAGTTTCACTCCACAGGATTCCAAGAAAACTCACTTTGGGAAATAGGAAGATGATACTATTGGGTTTGCCGCAAATCTTATATGTACGACAAGAGCAAAAAATTATGCATCCGCGTGTGTGTCTGTGGTGTGTGTGTGCACGCCTAGAAGGGGTTAAAAAGTTAGAAAATTACAATATATTTTCAAGATTGAAATACATTTGAAAATGAATATTTAAATACATTAATAAGCATTTGTTTATTAAACTTTATACTCACCTATATACTTACCTAGAACAATCTATGAAAAATTTTCTTGCACTTAATATTTCTTCAAGGAATTCTAGAATTCTATTTAAGATTTATTTTAAAAACAGATTTATATATTAACCAAATAACTACCAAAGTAGCTCCAGCACAGTAACAAGCCCATCACAGGACCAATTTTGATTTTAAGTAACACATCCTAAAATGTTTTGGGATATTAGAGATCATCATATCCAACTCCCACCATTTAGAAACCAGAAAACTAATACTCAGATGGATAAGTACCTATTTCAAACTCACCCAGGTAGTTACTGGCAAAGTCAGAGTTACAATCGAGTTATCCATATTTCTAGTATAGTGTTTCTTAGACTGTGATACGCTTGCAGAATAAAACCACCACCAGAAGGTATCTAGTTGAATCCAAATGTGAATCCCACCCTTCCATTTCAGTACTGACTCACACAAAATCTTTTCCAATGTATAAGCTGAAACAAAACTTTAACCTATTTACAAAAGCACTTCAACCTATTTATAATTCATAAAGTCATCTATATAAATTGGTAGTTTCAGATGTTTAGTGGAAGGTACACGTCTCTATAAAACCCAAGTGCTCCTTAGGCTACTTTTATTAGAAATGAAGTAACTTGGGTTTAGTTGACTTGAAGTATTAAATTAAATATTGTTCTTTTTCATCAATATTTCATTATAGTTGCAAATGTAGAATGGGATAAGGCCAGACAGCTGGCAAGACTGCGTGATATTTTGCATCATGAAGAACAAAAGTAACCACCCTCTGGTTTCTGAATAATAATTTCATAGGTACTAAGGTCAAAATAGAAACAGAAAGAATGTCCCTTTTGATCATATATGCTTAATGGCTTATATTTCTTCTATTGGAATACTAAATTTTGACTTCATTAAAAAAAAAGTTTTGTGTGGTTTATTAACCAACGAATGTCACCCAATAAATTCAACTTTAAAAAAAGTCTTGTTACTTGCAGAGTTTAAAAGGGTTTAAAAGGCTGCCAACAAAATATGAAAATTAAAACCTACATTTAAAAAAAAATTCAGGAAAACTGTGGGTCTTCAAATGAATAGACAGCCATGAGGAAGTGATGACAGAACGCTGCAGAGAAAGGTGTGTTGGACGCCATCCGCACCCTGGGCCAGCATGTGCGCCGGGACTGTCCCTGGCCAGCGTGAATAGCCGGTCGCAGCTGCCTCCGCTGGGAGCCCGGCACTCGGCCAAAAGGACCAGCTCTCCAGCACATGATTAGAGACGAAGGAATGACACGCACTCAGCTTTCATACTCTCCCAAAACTTCACTGAAACGGCACTGAAAGCTTTGCTTTGTTCTGTCTTTGTAGATTATAAGCCCACATGGTAAAGGAGGGTCAGCTAAGAGACAAGACCAGCAAGATGCTGACGGCCGACAGCGGACTTAGCAGTGCTGGCAGCAGGCACAGCCGAGAAGCACCTCCACCCATCCCAGCCGGCACGCCAGAGACCAGAGGGCGGCGACCAGTCTCTACTAGAGCAGGCTAGAAGGTTTTTCTCTTTTTTGAGACGATTTAATGGATAAAAATATGCAGGGTTTGGATATTTTGAGAGAGTTACACAACTGAAAGATAAATGTAGGATTTCCTTAGGTACAAATGATATAATTTGATGCCATGTTAAATCTAGAAAAGCAAAATACTCATTTCTCCTAGAATATGAATAGGTCATCCCTGGTGGACAGTTCTTGGTTTCTGTCCACCTCTGTTCATGTCAGGCCAATCTTCATTTGGGCTATCACTTGTCTTATCTTGGGAACAGTCTGGGGACACTATTATTCAGCAGCCTTCCCTCCACCAAGGGAAGGGGTGTGCTCATGACCCAAGTCTAGGCCAGCCCAGTTCTTCATCCCTAGAATGGTCAGGAACAGTGAGAGGAAAGGACTGCAAAGGGTTGGAGTCAGCCTCACGCAGCAGTAATCGAGTGATGACTGTCAAGTAGGCCTGTGAACTGGGCCCTTGGGGATTTCTGCCTTTTAGAATCTGGACCTTCAGCCTTCCCTAGCATCTTGTGAACTCCCTATATCCTAACCTTATTTTAATTATTTAAAATCTGTTCCTGCTCCATGCAACCAAATGCTCTAACTGATCTAGGTAGAATTTATTCACAAAAAGTAAACTAAGAAAATACTTGATTTGAACAAACTTTGTACTTTACCAGACATTGTTACTGTAAGAAACCTTAGAGTTCATGAATCCTAATCTTATACACATGAAAATAATAAAGCTGAGATCAAGAGACTAGAAGCATTTTCCAGTATCTTATAGCAAGTGGCAATGCTTTTATAATTGAGATCTCCTGCTATCCATTCCAGTATGACTACTTGTGTGTTTTTAAATTACATTTTGTTTCATTTTTACAAACCTCTAGTTCCTGGAAGTGGAGCTGCTATCCAGTAGCCCAAATGTGGTGCATCGTATGTCCAAATTAAATGATTATTATAGTCCTTGACCATTCCCTGGCCATGATTTATCCAAGTACCTAAAAAGAAAGGTAAGTAAAAATACCAAGTGGCTATAGTTCATATCTCTTTAGAGCTGATTGGAGTTTGCTGATAGTTATGTATAAAGTAAGTACCTTGCAGGACTTTTTAAAAAATTATGAAAACTGTAGCAATGTATTACTATGGGATAATATATACATCATATATTACATGGTATATAGTACATATGATAAGATATTAAATAAAATAATTTGAATGATTTGTTATGACTACAGGAAATAAAATCATTAAAAATAAATAACGGATGCACGCATATTTATGGAGATCATGACTCTCCAAATAATGTTTAAATTGTACCTATTGAGATATATCTTAAGGCTGTGAGCAGTGAAATCCAACCTTATCAATAGGTGGTTATTTTTCACCGGTTCTGGGATTCTAATTAAACAGTTATAGTGTATACAGTGTACAAAATGTTGCATATGTGATAAACCAATTCAAAAATGTTGTCACTGAAAGGTACATTAGAGACAAAGTCCTTTGTCAGGAGGAATAATCAGAAATCAGGACTCAAACAGCAGATATTCTTCTTTAAAGTGTTAAAACAACTCTCATTCAACGTTAGAAAACTGAAGTCCAACGAAGGGATTTGTTCAAAACTAACACTGCTAGTAAGTGGACTAGAATCCAGGTCTTAGAGCTCTTAATCCAGTGATTTACAATAGTATACTACTGTGATATTATAATAAGAAATATATATTTGGTCTTAGTCTCTAGTCCTGGCACCGAGCTCTTAAAACCCTGAGAATTTCCTAAGTGAAAGAATTTCTTGTTATTCATAACAAGCAGCTTTCTTTTTAAAAATAAAAATCTTTATTGTTGAAAATATTACAGATGTCCCTCTTTTTTCCCCCACTGACCCCCTGCACCCCAGTTCCACCTCCCATGTACACTATATGTTAATTATAGTAGCATGTTTTCTATTCAAAAGTATAATATTAATCGCATAGATGGAGTTGCGACCATCCCAAGTCCATATATAATATTAATTCATGTCATTACATGAATTGGAATTACAGTTCCAATACAGAAGAAGTAGAAGGATGTCTATGTAAACACTCTGGCAATTTACAAGGCATTTTTCAGAAATAACAGCATGCAAAACACTGTTGAAGATACTAATANACTGACTGTGTCCATGGGTTATGCATATATGAATATAAATTCTTTGGTTAATCTCTTCCTGCCTCCACCTCCCCCCTTCCCTCTGAGATCTGTCAGTCTGTTCCATGCTTCCATGTCTATGGATCTATTTTGTTCGTCAGTTTATTTTGTTCCTTAGATTCCACATATAAGTAAGATCATGTGGTACTTGTCTTTCTCTGCCTGACTTATTTCACTTAGCATAACACTGTCCAGGTCCCTTCATGCTATCTCAAAGGGTACGAGATCCTTCTTTTTTAGAGCTGATAGTATTCCATGGTGTGTAAATGTCCCACAGCTTTTTTATCCACTCATCTGCTGATGGGCACTTGGGTGGTTTCCAGATCTTAGCTATTGTAAATAGCACTGCTATAGCCATAGGGGTGCATATAGTCTTTCAAATATAAATGGTATAATTTTTTTCAGTAATAAGTTATTATTAAATTATTTCATTCTATATTAAAATATAGACATTTCATTAGTCAATTATACCTCAGTAAAGCTGAAAAAAATAAAAATACAGAAACGTATTTCTGAGATCAAACATTTCAAAAGAAATACTCAGAATATTTCTATGTAGCTCACATACCTGTGTTCATATCAAATGTCCAGGCAGGTATGTGATCCCCTGCACTTACATCATTTGTATGGAGAAGGGGGAGAGAAACCTGAATAGAGCCATCCACCTTTAATTCTTTTCCTCCAGAATATATCTTCACACATATTGCAGCAAGAGGAGTCAATTCAATGCTTTCAAAACCTATAAAAAAGATAATTTATTAAAATTTTACGTAAAACACAGGTTGTAGTTACATATTGATAACAAATTAATATGGGCCTCTAATTCACCCAATCATCAGACCAGGTGACTACTGGCTTTCTGAAGTGACTGCCATCCCCCAGCTCTACGTAGTCATGGCTTCAGATACCAAATGCGGCTGAAACTGCTGAGATCGATGCCCCATTACCTGGGATAAGGCCAACTCAAAGAAAAGAGGAACAATGGTACAGAAGACAGGAGACTAAAAGACAATGAGAAGGAATAAACTTTTATTTACAAAAAAACTTTCATATTCACAGAACTCTAGAACTGTGCAATCCAATACAGTAGCCACCCGCAGCATGTCACAATTTAAATTTAAGTGACACTGGCAGTGTAGTTTCTCAGCACTCATCATATATCAAGAACTCAATAGCAACATGTGCCTGGTAGCTACCATACTGGACAACGCAGAACATTCTGGTTTGACAGCACTGCTCTAGAACTTTAAAATGTTAGCATTCTCAGAATAACTGAAACATTGAATGAACAATCTCAAAAGCAGGTGGTAGAAAAGTTGGAGGGCAGAGTACATTATGATCCCTTCCTACTGAATCTAATGAGTCTTGTCCATAAAACTGTCCAGTGCAACATGGGCTTCACTTGTACTGCTCTTGTCAATGTTTTTATTTTGAGCAGCCTGTAACTGACATCTGGAAAATCTCAGCAGGTGTCCTAGACTGGCCTCTTCAAGACCCTCAGATGAGCACCACTGAGGGAGCAGGGGAGTAATGTAGAAGGAAGGAAGCCAGCACAGGACGCGTTAATGAGCAGGTTATCTCCGTGGCAACTCCCTTCAGTCTCACTGGACAGAATCTGGCTCAGACTTGCCCTAGCCAAGGCAAAGAAACGGGGAGTATTTATGGACTCATCTGTCACATGTTGAGACCCTGCCCAGGTAGGGGCCAAGCCTACTCCCTGGACGAGGGAAAGCCCTCAGGCAGTCCCAGGTGTGTGCATTAGGAAACAGGCTGCAAACAGGAGTCAGGGTCACCTGGCCAGGGCTCTGACCGCATCAGCATCAGCTACGGCAGGTTAAAAAACCCGTACCCATCGAACCGAAACACCCCTATGCCTTTATTACTCCAATTTCCAGCTGTTCCCCAACTGAAATGAACCAAAATTTTGACACAACTCAAACCATCCAAATTAGATTGTCTGAGATAATACTAAACAGTGGAGTTTAAGTTATGTTGCAACGAGTGGTAGAAATGGTGGAACAACTGCTGATGTACCCAGGGAATGTAGAGTTCTTATGGGGGTTAGTCATAGGCGTATTGTTAAATAAGATGTAAAATTCCGGCATTCCCTTCCCTGGTAGGTCATGATAGCCTTATAGAAATATACTAGCTATTGAGTCTGGAATAGATAGATATATTTTACTCACAGAGAATAGCAAATATATATGAAAAGAAAAATTTACGATTGCTTACTCCAATCTATAAACTTCTTTATATTTAACAATTACTGACACTTCTGATCAATTTGATAAGAATGAATAGGTCAAATTATAAAAAGATGTGTATAAATTTCTTTAAATCACATTTCCATTTTTAAATGTATTTTTTAATTTGCAAAGTTACACAATAATCATTATTATTTTTCTATACCTTTTTTTACCTCTTTTAGATAAAAGTATCCTGTAGATTAAATTTCCTTAATTTGAAATTGTGTATGCAGAAGACTACTGTATAATCTTTCTTTCATTGCATGAAAGGGAATTAATTGCTTATAAACATTTTAACAACTAGATTTATGTTTCAAAAGTGGCATGTATCCTCCAAAACTTAAATGAATATCCAATCTAAATAACTTCAGCAGTATTTGATGAGTTATGTACTCTTTCTGATACGTATGATTATATTATGTAAAAATGAGACAATACCTGATTTATCAAGAGTAATTCCAGATGTATACAGAAAATTGTCCACTTTCAAAAATTGTTGTAGAACTGTAAGGTAGCCTGTAACATTGCTAATGTGATGGTTGTCTGGTAGTTTAATTAAGGCTTTTGAAAACTGAACACTTGGTTGAGATTTGGCATCTGGAAGAAAAAATAACCTCATTACAAATAGACAAAACAAATTCCCATTAAGTACAGTATCAATGGCCAGGACATTTTACCTTAAAGGAAGCAGTTATAATTATTTCTAAACATTACGCAACATCTCATGTAATTATATTTCTTCAGATCACACAAGGCACCTTTATCCTACAGGCTGCTTGATTCTGCTGCCCAGAAATCCTTCACCCTTTTTTGGGTTTCACGCCAGGGAACCACATACTGACCATTTTTAGCCCATATGGTTCACTTGGGATTTCCTTCTATAATAGGAGTAGAGTTAATGGTGCATACCAGAATGGGAGGAAACCAGTCAAAAGCCTCTCATTCATTATTCTCTTGGTTACATTGATTTGTTCAATGAGGGACCTTGTGATAGCTACAGTTAATGAGATGCAATGTGAGTTTTGCTTGGATTTCTAGAGAAAAAGACTTGCTTTTTCCTCACTGGATGTTATATGATCAGATAATATGTCCATGAGTTGCAAAAGCCATCTTTTGACCAAAAATGAAAGTTGGTTTGAAAATGGAGATAATATTTAAGGAATGAACAGTTAAGAAATAAAGTGAGAAAAACTAGTGCTCAATTATTTCAACAGAAGCCCTGATCACACATGTCTCAAGTTGGTCTGACTCCTATACCCATCAATTATTTGAGCAACAAATAATTAAGTGCCTCCTTTGTGCTTAAGCTGGTTTAGGACTGGGTTTTCAGCAACTTACAATAGAAAGTGGCTTTGCTGATATTCAGTCATATACTGAACTGGGTAATTCTCTAACAGATAACTAAACATGCATTAAAAGGCTTCCCAATGCCAGGCACTCAATTGATAAATATAATCTCACATTAATAACTTTGAATTAACAACCTTCCAACATAATTTATGGAGTCAAAATTCTGGCAATATTGATATTTCTGTAATCAACATGTCTTATTTTACAAATTCAAAGGTTAACTTTTAAATCATTAAAACAAAAAATTATCAGACATCAGCTTCTGCCTTGGACTTTGATAAAGACAAAAGGAATTGTTAAAATTATTAAGATAGCCCGGCCAGGCGAGGCTCAGCAGTTGAGAGTCGACCTAGGATCCAGGCGATCGGGGTTCGATTCCCGGTAGGACACATGCCCAGGTCGCTCGATCAGTGACTCTCTCATCACTGATGTTTCTATCTCTCTCTCCCTCTCCTTTCCTCTCTCTAAAATCAATAAAGATATATTTTTTTAAAAAATTATTAGGATAAAAAAAGTATTGGTTTTTAAAGTGTTGTATGACAAATAATAAAATAATATAAGATAATTCTCAAAATCAATGTATAGTTTACTTTTTATATATGAAGCTAGTAAAATAATACTTGGAAAATAAATAGTTAAGGGCTATAAAGAAAAACAATGCATTTATGAGATACTATTCTTAAGTTGTTTGAGGAAACAATCTGATACCTTCTGAATCACTTACTGGTACTATCTACAACTTACTCTTTACACTGTGTGACTTAATTATGTTGAACATCCAAACTTCATACAACTGAAAACGTGTACACTGTGGCCAATGTCTAGTTGGCCTTCTCTAAGGTTTTGTACTTTTCTGAAGTTTCCAACTTCTCCTGCTCCTTTTATTGCAAATACATTCACACACTTTCACTATACAAACGGAACACCTTCCTGATAAAACCTTGAAGGGAAAATATATAAACATTTTATGGAATGAGAATGTGTAACTTCTAAGGAATAAGGTAGCATCGTCGGAAACATCCATCCTTTCTGCTTGGCCTTACTAATATGTTAACTCTCGGGGAAGCAAGGCAGTAAAAGGAAGGGATCTGAGAATTCAGGAAGGCTCACGGTGTTCTCACGGAGACATGCCAAGGCAGGGCAGTATTACCCAGGCAGATGAGAGCTCCCCATGCCTGGCACAGTGGCAGAGTAGAGGCACACAGGTATGCTCACACCCATCCATTTCATGTATTCCAGCAGGAATTACAATTGTAATGGGGCCTGAAGAGGCCAGTGAGGAGTAGGGGATGTGTCAAGACAAAACCCAAACAAATAAAACACTGAAGAGGGGCTGTGGAGAACCTGATTCCACAAAGGCCCCGCAACATAAAACGTAGCTTCTCTTTGCAGGTATGCAGTCCCATTTTCTTTTCATTCTATTACACACATTGTAATAGAGTGAAGTAGAATAATTCTATGACTCCACGTCCACCCCTTCTGCCACGCACCAGCAAACCTGAGATCAAAATTCTGCCGAGTGCCTTAGCATTTCAAGCGTAAGAGACTCTACTGCCTCACTCAGTAAATTACTCCAATATTAATCAAGCCCTAGTTTACATTTTTTTCTAAGTAGCAGTATTGGGTTTTCTTTTCTAATGCTTCTGAAAATGAAGACAACTTTCAAAACAATTTTTTTACCGTGACTTTCTTATAAACTATTTTGAGGATTTTCTTCCTTTACCAATCGTTCCTATTATGCTTTAGTCCTAAACATTAATTCCTCAATACAAAATAAATTGTCATTTATAGGCAAATAATTGTCATTTATAGAGGTTTTATAAAATATGCAGTAAGAGTCATAAAATGCTGGGTGTTCCCCTAAGGACTAGTTAAGGGAGGTGAGGGGATAAGATGAAATTATCATCCTCATGCCTGTTAAAGCAGAACTGGAGGGCACAGCTTGAGTCAGACCCCAAATCAGGCTTCTGAATCCTTCCCGTGGGATGTGCAAGCGGGCAAATCATGTATGCAGGGCAGACACTTAACTGCCCTGTCTCGGGTCTCTCCCACACAAGCAGCAAGATTAATGCCACAGGCAGGAAGGAAGGTGACCTGCAAATTAGAAAGTGCCAAAGGGCTGAGCCCTTCTACTAATTCAACCAGCCACTAAAGCCCAGTGAGAGATTTGATTTGGAAAGTTCAGAAGCTCTTTCCAATATTTCCAGAAGTCCAATGTTCTCATGTGGGGGGCTAAAATAGGAAAGGAGAGAATGATTCCCATCACACTCACAAAAAAACACTTTGGTTTGACAGTGAAATAAGCCTCGGTTGAGATCAGCTTATAATCATCCCTGATCAATTTAGATTTTCCCACATTATGATCAATGCTGATTTATTACTGATTCATTCATAACCACTTTAAGTGTTTACTTATTAGCTGAGTAAAAAGTATTATACTTACCGGCTAATTTTCCAGTAATTAAAACAGTGTCTTCAAAGAGCCATATATTTGCTTGGCTTTGCGGGAACAGTGAAAGTGTAACTGATGAATATACTGTGAAATATAGCACAATTAAAAGATGTTATTAAACATGGGGGGGAGGGGAACAGACAAATATAGTTCTGTCCCAGCAGGCCCTAAAAAGTGGGGGAAAACAAACTGTGTGATAGTAAAAGCAATGGAAAATAAAGGAAGGGTGAATGTAAAATAGGATGGGGGTGGGGGAAGAAGGATCACAATAAAATGGGAAGAAAAGATTGGGCATCCCTATTTTATTTTAATAATCTTTGCTATTTCATATAGTAGTTTGCCAATGGGACTAATGATGTTCTCTAAGACCAGATACATATAGGCCAGTTAAATACTTGAACAACCTTCTGTTATTTTCTCTATATAATTGTTATTTACTTCCCTCTTATAATTGCTGAAAACATTTTTCTTGGCTCCATGATCCAAGGTTCTCTAAAATGGAGACTACATCCACACTTCTTTTTTAACGTCCATGTAAAGGTACAATGCTCTTCTTTGCACCTTATGGTTTGCCAAACAGACTCTGAGTTCACAAAAGAGGAAACAGTTTCACACACAAAATGATTCCTGGTGGCGGTAACTCAGGATGGGGCCAAACCAGCCTACGATAGTAGGCACCTGAAATAACCAGCAGGATGAGAGAGTGCAGATCACCAGGAAAATAATTATTATTTCAAAATCAGGAGCAAGAAGCTGGGACAAAAGACCATCATTTTATAAGCAAGAACAAATCAAATAAGCTTACCAATCCTGCAAAGGAAAATAACTTTTGAGGAGTAACACAAAGCACAAGTTCCCATTCTCTCTCCTGTATTTAAAGTTAATAGGAATAACATAATATTCCTAGGTCACTTAAGAGAGGCTAAAACACATTGCATGGGGATGTTTTTAAGATTTTGAGATATTTTTAAGAGCTATAATGGAAAAGACAAGATAAAATACAAAAAGTATAGAATGATGTATCGTGGACATTAAACAAAATACACTTTTCTCCTATGACAGGAAAAAGGGAGAAACTACCAAATAAAAGTGTGATTTCAGTTCAGAATACATGAACATTTAGACTGATTACTGGATTCATTCAATTGGAAAGGAGATGACTGTAATTAGGGCACCAACCTACGTTTGGATACTTTCTCGGTCACAGGCAGCTTAAAAGGGCAGCTCTGACAGCTTTTTAAGGCTATTAAACCTGAGGGGAATCTTTCTTAACCTCACTAAAACTTACATTCAGGTTTCTTTTCACTAAAAAAGAAATATGTTTTCTGATTATAAAACAGGTGTATATCCGCAGAGAAATACAGAAAAGGAAAGAAGAAAATGATGGTCATCACAATACCAGCCCGGAGACAACCATTATTAATAATTTAGCATCACATATTTCATTTCTTAAAGTATCAAGATTTACTTAACCACTCCACTAATATTAAATATTTAGACTATTTCTATTCTGTTATTACAAAACTGATACTGAAATTGATATCCTTTTGTATGAGTATCTGTCAAGTTTATTTGTGTGTCTGTTTTTAGGATAGGTTACTAACAGGAGAACACGGGGTCAAAGATTACAAAGATCCTGAAGACAATGACACACATTTCAAAGTTATCCAGATAATTTTGCTGATTTGCTCTCCCACCAAAAGTGTTTGAGAATTCTAATCCTACCTCACTCCATCAATACTGAGTATGCTCACTTTTAAAAAACTTTTCTAAGATAAAAAAAATCTATGAAATGTGTATTTCTTTGGTGTATAAGTCTCAGGCTCTTAGGAAACAAAACATTTTACCACATTTACTAATCATTGCTATTTCCTGTTTTGAAAATTGCTAGGTCCCAATTTTGTCCATTTACCTTATTTAGGCAGGGCCTTGTTGGCTGTTGTTTTTTACTGATGTGTATGAGTTCTTTGCATATTAAGGATATCACCCCTTATTGTTTCATATATTTTCCTACCTTCTCATTTGCCTTCATGTTTTTGATGTACAGTTGCTCTTTAAAAATATGGCCAAATCTCCTTATGACTTCTTTCATTGTTTTTAAGTCTAATCAGATCATCCTAATAAAAATCAGATAATTTGTTATTTTCTTATATTTAATATGATCTGGTTTTCCACATCTGAACTCTGAGTAATATATTTTGGAATATGGATCCAAACTAATTTACTCCAAATAGTTAACTAAAATATCCCAACACTATTTATTGAATATTCAGCACTTTCTCAATGATTTATAATGGTACCTTATCATAGATTACTTTTTTTATACATTCCAGTATCAGATTTTTACCACAGTATAATACCATATAGTTTTAATTTTGTAGCTGTATAATATTTACTTATCTGGAATGCCTCTAGTAAATCTTCTTTTAAAACAAGATTCTCAAGATGAGTAGATAAAGAAAATGTGGTACATACATACAATAGAATATTACTAGGCCATAAAAAAAAAATCTTACCATTTGCAACAGGCAACATGGATAGACCTGGAGGGTTTTATGCTAAGTGAAGTAAGTCAAATAGAGAAAGAAACTACCATGTGATTTCACTTATATGTGGAATCTAAAGAACAAAATAAATGAACACACAGAATGGAAACACACTCTTAGATAGAGAAAACAAACTGGGTTGCCAGACTGGGGTGAGGGGAGTTTGGGGGACTGGGTGAAAAAGGGACTAAGAAGCACAAATTGGTAGTTAGAAAACAGTCATGGGGATGTAAAGTACAGCATAGGGAATATAGTCAATTATATTGTAGTAACTATGTATGGTGCCAGGTGGGTACTAGAATTATCAGGGGGATCACTCCGTAAATTATATGATTGACTAACCACTATGCTCTACACCTGAAACTAATTAAAATAATATTGAACGTCAACTGTAATTGAAAAAAATAAAATTAAAAAATAAAATTAAGAGCAATTAAAGCAGGAAAAAAGAGAAAACAAGATTCCCAGGAATTTTTGCAGATTTATTCTTCAAAATTTATTATTTTTGAAAATTTGGACCTATTCACATTCAAAAATTATTTTTGCCAAGTTTTTTTTAAATGCATTAAATCTACATATTAATTTGTGAAGAACTGAAACCTTAACAATATTCAGGCTTTCTAAGAATAAATATAATGATTTTTCAGTTATCCAGGGCATTATTTATTTAGGTTTTCTTTTTGTAGGTCTATTGGTAATTGGGTCTATTGGTAATTTGGGTAGTTTTTTTTCTACCACCCCCGTTATTTCACTTTTTTTTTTAGGTTTCCTTGCTTTTTTTTTTTTCTTGTTCTAAGAGGGATCTCTTGTCATTATTTTTCCTAACTGGTTATTACTCCTGGTACATAACATGTATTTATTATACCGATGCTAATTCTGCAATCAGTAACTCTGTTGAAATCCCATTATTACTGTCCACTAGGAGCACAACCACAGCTTCATAGCCAGGCTCCCTCAACCCATTTCAGCCCTGCTGTTGGCCTTTTGGTGTATAATCATACACGCTGTCAAGTAAATTCAGTTTCCCAATAACTTATACTCATTGTGTACTCAATAACTGCCTTATTATTCGGCACATAAATCTAAACTGTCTGTCTCGCCTTTCCAGAACATCCTCTCATCATCTGGCCCCACTTTCGGGCCCGCCCGCTTCTCGGGGATCCTTGGGGCAGGCCACCCGCACACACGCCTCTCACCAGAGCTCTGCTCAGAATTCCTTCAAGCCTCTGCAGGAGGGAAAAGGGCCTCATGTTTTCTTCAAACTGGCACTCCTTTCTAACTACTTTATATTGACTTCAAGTGAACATTCCCATTTTCAGTTTACCAGAACAACTGATTCTCAAAGCAGAGAAAGTACATTTAGTGACGGCAAACACTGAGGGCTTACTTGGCATTCTTCCGGTCTTCCACGGCAGAGGCGTCAACACATAGCCATCTCTGTAAGCAATAACGGTTAAGCTGAGCCCTAGTTTATAGGGTACTCTTATCAGCACGGCTCCATTGCTTCTAGTCACCGTGGAATTGGTCTTCGTGTAGTTCACAAACACTTCTACAACTGCTTGACTCAGGTACTGGCGACTGATGATGTCATTCACCTGGACTTTCAGCATAAACACAGACACTGGAAGGGGGAAAAGCCAGAAATGGCAGCATGTTAGGTCCTAGAACATATGTCAGTGTGCCTTAAAATGCCTTCCAGGCATTTAGTAACAGTACAACACTGCTGATAAATTTAGGACACAGATATGGATGGACAGATCAATAGAAAGAGGTGTAGAAACATTCCAACAAATTCATTATTCTTCCTAAAACTGAATAAATTTGAATTTATTATTAATAAGGCAGGGTAATATTACTCTATTTTTTCTGCCAATTAAAAGAAGGACCACAGTAAGTAAGGGAAATTTCTCTCTTCAGGAAAATATACTTTTACTTTGTTTCACTAATTCTAATGCTATCAAGTAATACCGATTTAACATTAAATCAGAATTCAGTTAAAGTTCTTAGAATAAAATGGCACATAACAAAGTCCATTAGTCCATGCCTAGCTTCTTCATTTTGTTGTGTTATCTAGAAAGTATGGGGTGTTTTTCAGGTCCAAATATACAAAATATCAAACAAAAACCTTTCCCTAAGGAATAAAAAAGCCATTATCCATTAAATATATGAGAAAACACAGTAACATAATAGGTTAAGGAAAATGAGAAAACAATGCTTCTTTCTACTTAAACCTCCAGCCTCACTCTTGAAGTACAAATCTTGACTCTTTGTTCATGGATTTATCAGTGATAATATCTAACTTTAATGAAGAACTTATATCATGCTGGAAATGCCTTTGCAAAGCCTGTTTCACAACACCTTTGACAAAGATGCCTTGTCTTCCACTAAAAATGGGCTTTGGAGCCAGTCAAGGTCCATCTCTGCCATTCCCTAGACGTGTGACCTTGTTAAGTTACTCACTTCTCTGAGTCTGTTTGCACATCTGTAAAATTGAGAGCACAGTGACTCCATTACAAAATAAATGAAATAATGCATAGTGTTTGGTTCTCATTTAATATCATTACTACTAATAAAAATTATTACTTCACAATTGGAGGCCAGTTCACAAGCATTAGAGTACATCAATAAGAAATGCCTCATAGGGATTGATTTTAGGGCTATATATTTGCATAAAAAACATTTTTACTCAAAATAATTTTTAGTAACAACAGCACATCAGGTAAAAAAAAAAATCCCAGTCAATGCTGATTGAGTCACAATAGTATCACTACCAACTTGTTGTTATGCCTTATCTACTTTAACTTTGTGAAAATAAACTACTTTCAGTTGCTTTTGGAACATAACAAAAACATTTCAGATACAAACAGAACCACTGTAACAACTGCCCAGTCCTAGTAAGGAACCATCCCGCAAGTTAGACAAGAGTGCTGCTCCTTTCAAGAATCTTAAATGAGGTTAAATGCTATCAAAATATGATTCTTTATATATTCAGACACAAACATATTTGTAGTGTATTTCTTCTTATACATGATCATAATTATAACCACAATAAGAACTAAAATGTGTTGTGGGTTAAAAAGCCAGGCGTTATGTTAATTTTTTAAGGGCATCATTCCATTTACTCTTCAAAAAACCCTCATTAGAGAGATACTATTGTTTTCTTCCCCTTATAGATTGGTAAGTGTGGGTCAGAGAGGTTTGTAAATCAGCCATGGCCAACCCACAATAGTCGGAGGAAACAGGACACACACGTGGGACTGTCCCTTTGCAAGGCTTGTGCTCTCTTAAACCACTGCACTACAACTGCCTGATTATTCTTAAAAGCAACTCTAGTCCCAGTTTAGAGTGTGGGAAGAATTAATTGGGAAAAGAAAAGAAAGGGGAGGATTATATCCTGGACAGACATACCTTAAAATAAGGTCCTATTAGTCTGTCTGGGGGGGGGG